TTCATTTTTCAGTACCGCATGATTTCAACGAGGTGTTGGAAAAGTACACGGAAAAGGGCTACAGGGTGCTCGCAGTGGCTCATCGTCGACTCGACAGCTTCAAGTACCTGCGCCTTCAACGAGCCTCGCGTGAAGAACTCGAGACTTCCTTGACTCTCATGGGCCTGATCGTCCTGGAGAATCGCCTGAAACCCGCCACGGGCCCAGTGATCGAAGAACTCAAGCTGGCCCGAGTCCGGGTCATCATGGTCACGGGTGACAACATTCTCACGGCACTGAGTGTGGCCCGCGAGTGCGGGATGGTGGCGGCCGGCGAGGAGCTCTACGTTGTGGGCGCCAGTCCTCAGGGCGCCAACGAGGAGCCGAGGTTGTCCTACACGCGTGCGGACAGGCCGAAGGACGCCGGGGACCCGACTGCCGACTACGTGTCTATTCCCCTCAGCAGCGATCGGTCGTAATGGGCGCCAGTCCTCAGGGCGCCAACGAGGAGCCGAGGTTGTCCTACACGCGTGCGGACAGGCCGAAGGACGCCGGGGACCCGACTGCCGACTACGTGTCTATTCCCCTCAGCAGCGATCGGTCGTACCACTTTGCCATGACCGGCAAAACCTTTGAGGTGAGCTTTTTTACAGTCAAATCAGCTCGTTATGTTTGGTTCAAGAGTTTCCATTAGAATCAGTTTTAATACACACCTAAATTTTTAAAACTTGTTGAAAAATGTGTACCTGTCTGATGATGACTGGCACCACCCCTCTCTTTTTGCTCTCAAATTTGAGAAAAAAAGGTGCTCGTATTACTGGAGTCAATACGGTATTTATTGTTTTATATAAGATTATAAACAGAAAATCTCCTGAGGAAGCAATGTTCGTCTCTTTTTTTGTAGGCTTCATCAAAGAAGTTTACCTTGAAAATTTGGATTGAGATACAGTATTTGTTTCCCTTGATGTGCAGGTTCTAACATCGGGCCGAGGTCATCCGTCGTTTGATAGACTGTTGAGCAAGTGTGTCGTGTTTGCTAGAATGAGTCCTGAGCAGAAGCAGCTGTTGGTTGAGCGATTGCAAGAACTCGGCTATCATGTTGGTGAGTTATTTTCGTCCAATTTTTCGTTCATATCTTTCGGTCTCATCTGGAAATAAACGTGGTGTCGGTGTAATTATGCTACCTGTTGATAATATTTTCAGAATGTGCATCTGCTCTTCCCTGAACATTTTTCAATCACCGATTCCNGAATGAGAATTTTGGCGGTTCATATTAGAATGCTTTCTCTGAATTTTTGAGTATCCGTCTAATTTGTTTTTCCGGAAGATTGAGACTATGGTCAATTAATGGATTTTGATGCTGTAAAATCTCATTACGACAAACTCCGAGGAACTTGAGAAAAAATTTGTTAAAAAAACAAATTCGTTATCACTGGAATCCTGGTTCTTCTTTATTTGAGCATGAAGGACTGAATTTTTGTGGGGAAACGGGTAAAAAATGCTTTGAAGTGCTTACAGAACAGATGTGAGAAGAATTGCGCACATGAACAGCTTCTTTTGATGGAATAAATATAGAAATTTCGAACCGTGAATTACCATTCTTCACGATTTCAGACCTTCATTTTTCGAAAATTTTCTAACAATTCACTGATCATATACTGAAGTTTAAGCTGGAACGAAAAGGAAATACACGTGTATAAGAAGATCATATATTCATGGAGAACTGTATACTGTTCACTGCTGGAATGGAGCAGTATCTTTCCAAGCATAATTTTCTTACAATAAAAAAGTAACCATTTCTAAATTCGAAAATGAAGCTGAATAAATTGTGATCAGAGCTTCATAATTCCTGCAATGCTACATTTTTTGTACAAAATTATCAGGATTTATATTTTCAAAGGCTTTTTCAATTACTCAAATTATTATTTTTTATGGAATCTGCGGTTGAACGTGGAATCAGCGCATGGGAAGTTTCCTTGAGGCCTTGGAATTAATGAGAATACCTTTTGATTGACGGGTGATCAAGCAAGTGGATTTCGTGATGAATTTACATTTTTTGCTGTTTAAATTTGAGCATTTATGGTACAATGAAAAAGAAGAGCATTAAAATCAGAATACATATGCATCAGCCTTGATTCTGGAAAAGAAAAAGATGATCGAGGAGTCAATTGAATTTGATTGGAAATTGTTTCCCAAATTTCGAAATTCTTCAAATCCTTTCTATCACTGTACAGTATTAAAATCCAGTATTTATTAGTTGGATTACTGAGATACCTTTCGAATCAACCCTGGTATATAAAGATGTATCCCCGAAATTATCTTTCGACTTCCACAGCAACTTGCAAATTGCTACTTATAACACTCTTTCATTTTTCAGTACCGCATGATTTCAACGAGGTGTTGGAAAAGTACACGGAAAAGGGCTACAGGGTGCTCGCAGTGGCTCATCGTCGACTCGACAGCTTCAAGTACCTGCGCCTTCAACGAGCCTCGCGTGAGGAACTCGAGACTTCCTTGACCCTCATGGGCCTGATCGTCCTGGAGAATCGCCTGAAACCCGCCACGGGCCCAGTGATCGAAGAACTCAAGCTGGCCCGAGTCCGGGTCATCATGGTCACGGGTGACAACATCCTCACGGCACTGAGTGTGGCCCGCGAGTGCGGGATGGTGGCGGCCGGCGAGGAGCTCTACGTTGTGGGCGCCAGTCCTCAGGGCGCCAACGAGGAGCCGAGGTTGTCCTACACGCGTGCGGACAGGCCGAAGGACGCCGGGGACCCGACTGCCGACTACGTGTCTATTCCCCTCAGCAGCGATCGGTCGTATCACTTCGCCATGACCGGCAAAACCTTTGAGGTGACCTTTTTTTTACAGTCAAATCAGCTCGTGATGTTTGGTTCAAAAGTTTCCATCAGAATCAGTTTTCATACACACCTAAATTTCTAAAACTTGTTGAAAAATGTGTACCTGTCTGATGATGCCTGGCACCACCCCTCTCTTTTTGCTCTCAAATTTGAGAAAAAAAGGTGCTCGTATTACTGGAGTCAATACGGTATTTATTGTTTTATATAAGATTATAAACAGAAAATCTCCTGGGGAAGCAATGTTCGTCTCTTTTTTTGTAGGCTTCATCAAAGAAGTTTACCTTGAAAATTTGGATTGAGATACAGTATTTGTTTCCCTTGATGTGCAGGTTCTAACATCGGGCCGAGGTCATCCGTCGAGGAAGCAATGTTCGTCTCTTTTTTTGTAGGCTTCATCAAAGAAGTTTACCTTGAAAATTTGGATTGAGATACAGTATTTGTTTCCCTTGATGTGCAGGTTCTAACATCGGGCCGAGGTCATCCGTCGTTTGATAGACTGTTGAGCAAGTGTGTCGTGTTTGCTAGAATGAGTCCTGAGCAGAAGCAGCTGTTGGTTGAGCGATTGCAAGAACTCGGCTATCATGTTGGTGAGTTATTTTCGTCCAATTTTTCGTTCATATCTTTCGGTCTCATCTGGAAATAAACGTGGTGTCGGTGTAATTATGCTACCTGTTGATAATATTTTCAGAATGTGCATCTGCTCTTCCCTGAACATTTTTCAATCACCGATTCCGGTGTAATTTAATTTGCTACAACCCTGAGAATGTAAGCCCTAAGATAAATTTAATGTAAAACTTGTATTAATGCATCATGAAATATTAATCTTATTTAAATCAGCTCAAGCGATAGAAATAAAGTCACGAACACTAGAACCGTTTTCATTGAAAATTCAGCCTTTATAGGTTAGTTTTGTGATTCAATGCGATTTTGACATTTAGAATTGGATTGAAGTGTCAATATTACTCTCAGCTTTTCGAAAATTCCGTGAAAATGTATTGGCATGGTGCGACAGTGGACTGAATCATTGAGGAGAAAACGTGAGAGACATGTTTGATGCTTGAAACAACGTGGACAAGTTGACTCATCTCGATCAAATTCACAAATTTTAGTCTGCATTCAGTGTTGTTCATTAAGAAAATGAATGAATTTGCATCAGTTGAATCTTATTTGTGTACTGTATGTTTTTACCGCATGTAACCTTAATTAGTACACTTCTTCGGATGTGTGATTTTGTCATGTTGATTAACAAATAATGGGCTCATCTACAAGGGGTTTAACAAAAGTTTTTTGGATAGAAATTGAAACAGCATATGATCAAGCTAAAAAGCAATTAATGTTCAGAAAAAAACATTGGTTGGCAGAAGGAAAAAAAATCAGCCCTGTTTGACATCTTTTTTGTACATTTTTTGTTAAGGGCAACCTGGCAATTTTCTGTTCTTCACACAAAAGATGAGGCGCTCATCTAGTCATCATCTCACACATTTCTTGGTTTATCCTATTTTCTCCTTCAAAATTCTTGATATCAACATGTCATTAATTCCGAGGGTTGCCTCCAGGTCTCCCGAAGTAATTCCAAAAGTTTCACTCACAGCCGCCGCATTATCGTCCCGAGTGGCGGCTGTAAAAGTGGCTTTTGATGAAAATGGCGGAATTTACAATTAATTCATGGCAGTACCCTTCAGAATTAATTCCGTGTTGATTTCGAGAATTCTGAAGGAAGAGCTGGGATACATTCAAAGAATCTGCAACATGGGTGCCACATTTTTTGCAAGTAGAGCAGAAATCTGTTGCTTGGGCGATTTCAGCAAAAATTATCTACGATATTCATGCAATTTCGTTCTTGAACCGAATAATGTTTTTTTTTATGAAGAATAATTTTATTCAGCTCAATTGTATGCTGTTTCAGTTCCTATTCCAAAAGCTCAGACCTCTCGCATGCAGAAAACAGTATAAAATAGCATCTTAATATTCCAGATTAGCAATTGTGAACAAAAGATTAATTGTGTGCATGCTAAATCCTCACTCATGATGTACGATTTTATATGCTGTATATATATTCTATCTATAGGAATGTGTGGAGATGGAGCGAATGATTGCGGTGCGTTGAAAGCAGCTCACGCCGGGATCTCGCTGTCGGAAGCGGAAGCGTCGGTGGCGTCTCCGTTCACGTCGAAGACTCCGGATATCTCTTGCGTTCCGACGCTGATTCGTGAGGGCAGAGCCGCACTCGTCACCTCGTTCGGCGTCTTCAAATACATGGCGGCCTACAGTCTGACGCAATTCGTGTCCGTCATGCTCCTTTATTCGATAGACTGCAATTTGACGGACTTCCAGTTCTTGTTTATCGACTTGGTTCTCATCACTTTGCTGGTGACGTTTTTCGGCAACACGCGGGCCCACGACGGACCTTTGAACAAACGACCGCCGCCGTCTGCGCTGGCCGCTATTGCTCCTGTCTTGTCACTGTTGTTGCAGGTTTGATGATGTTCTCTTTTTTTTATTCACTTCATTCATCCTCGACATGTAATAAAACCTTTTTACCGTACTTAATCGAGTATACCAATGTACCACTCACCCTCGTAAGACTCGCACCTAGGTTTTTTAGCTAGAATTTTGGCAAAAATTTGATACCGGCGTAAGACGCACAACTTGGTTTTCAGTCCCAAATTCTCACGGTATTTCAAAAACTGCATCAGTCGCAAATCTAGGTGAAAGCCCACACAAAAGTTGACTTTACTGTTGATGTTTTTTCTCATGCTAAATGAAGAAAAAAATATGAACATTTTTGGAGGAGGGGAGGGGGGAGTTGGAAAAGAAAAAAAAAATACTATAGGAAATGTTTACCCGACTATGGCGTTTACCTCATTTTGTGCCTCTGTTTTTTTTTTTTACAATTTTTAAAACGGTCAAACTTGATGCAATGCCATCATATGTGAGGGCAATTTTCGTTTATTGGCACTAATTTGGGAATACTTATTGTGTGACGGGAATGTTTAGTTGAAAGCTCCTACTACTGTATAGATAAAATAAGCTTATTTGAAGAAATTTTACATGTTTGAGTCTGTTCTATGAGAGAGAAAACTATAAGAAATAATCTGAAGCTCAAGTGCACTGTTTTATGCTGATTTAAATTTTTCATAGTGCATAATATTTCGGATTTTTGCCTGTATTGTTTATTGTGTCAAGCCAAAGAACAGAACTGTTCTGTCAAGTTTTGTTTCAACTTTTCAATGAAAGCACACTAGTCCAAGATGAAGTAAAATGATTTCAATTTTTAGAAGAGGCTATTTCAGGTATGGATATACGTTCTTTGCAGCGGATTTCCAAATATATTCCGCCCAATAATAAAAAAGTAATTCATAAAAATTATTTAAAAAAATGATTCTGAGCTTGGAAATAAACTTTTCAGCAATAACCTTATGATTTTTCCAGATCAAGACCACAACTAATTCGATTTATAGCCCATTTTTCATCCAGAACAATTTCCTTTTGTGGTACTGTAATAGATTGGGATTTCCCTGAAGAACGCGAGAAAGGGAATTTTTTTGTTCAAGAAAGTGTGGTTTACTATGCGAGGTTGGCTGTAAATTGAGGGTTGTATGTTTAAACTGGGGTTTCATGATGTTGCTATGACCAATCTACGACCCAAGCCACGACGATGACACAGTTTCAGGTTGGCTGAAAGTCGATTTTTTTTTCTTCCCAAATACTGTGGAATCTCGTTGACAATAACAAATCTGGGGAAAATGCACAGAGTCTCATCATCTCTCGTTTCCATCAGGTTCTGTTGGTGATCGCCTTCCAAGTGGCAGCATTTTTCTTCGTGGCTGATCAGTCGTGGTTCAAGCCATTTGTGCCAAATGATGCGGACGAGTACGCGAGTCATTCAAACTACGCCGTCTACACCGTTTCTTCCTTCCAGTACGTCGGACTCGTCGTCATCTTCAGCAAGGGTGCACCTTATCGAATGCCCATTTACACCAACTACCCACTCAGTGGACTAGTTGCCGCTTTGTTGGCCATGAACGTCTACTTGACTGTGGAACCCCAGGGGTTTTTCCGCAGCTGGCTGGAGCTGGAGGTTCCTGAGGACCACGGGTTCAGGTGGCTGATGGTCGGCGCTGGAGTGATTTACATTCTGATGGGTGAGGACGATGACTCGAATTTTCTGCTGGAGGCGTTTTGGTTGTACTGTTTTATTATTGAGAAAAAATAGGAGAAGAGCAATTAAATGTAACTTGATGTGCTTTGAAAGAAGTGATTGAACAAATAACCTTTGCCTCCAATTTCCGCAAAATGAATTTTAATGCATTTTAACGTGATGTGAACAACATTTAGTGCTGTTGAACCCCCGTAACTCGAACCATTTCAAGTGGAATACCTCAGTATGTTGAATTTTTTTAAAGCTCTTGTATGAATTCTTATGATAACACCTAATTAAAAACCTCCTTAAATTAAAAGCTTAGTTCCCCTCAAACCGTCTGAAGTCGTATTTTATGGAGGCGTTTTGGCTAATATTGTATTGACACAGGAAAGAGAGGAAAGAGACCAGCATTAAAAAGGTAATTTGATGTCCTTCGAAAGGAAGTCAAAGATTTATTGATCAAATGAACCCTTGCCATCCTGTCAATCACTCATCTAAGAAGCTATTTAAGATCTACAATATCTCCAATTGCACTCTCCTGCAATTCTTCTTTCTTTCCCCGAACAATAATGCTCGTTTTTTTTTAAAACTTGGAATTTCCATAACGCAATTTTCTTCTTTGGTCCCCTTAAAGTTCGACCTGCGACTGTTTTACTGTACAAAAAAGGCTACAAGATGAAATCCATGTCGTAATTTTAATTTCGTATATTAGGGACCCTAGGGGATATCAATGAAAGTTTCAAAGGTGCTTCAATCAATATACTGTAAAATATTAGTTCAGAAAGATTGAGGTGTGCAAAAATTCAGGGTTCAAAAGGAATTTTTCTAAATTCAGCTTTTAAGGTAGAAAATTCAGATTGTCAGGCATGATGACGCAAGAAATCGTTTCCTATTAGGTAATCACTTCGAGTGCTTTAATTTGAAATGGAATGTTACACAACGAAGTCATGGAGAAAGGTCTTGAAACAGTTTTCAGTAATCAGACACGTCCTCCACCGAAAATGAAGCTGAAACTGACTTTCATGCATGCTGAAACGTTAATAGCCAATTTTCTCATGAGTTATTGCATAGTCTGATTTATTCCGAAGAAATTCATAATCATGACATCGTCTTCCTGATCATAAAATCGTTGTTGTTTAAGATGATCAAGATTGATGAGATCGTCATCATCTTTTTTTGTTTCAAGGAAATATAAGAATACATGCGCTAAATTTCATCCTGCCAATGATCAGAGTTTCTGCTCATGAATATAAATAAATTTAAAAAAAGCATCGACGATTCGTTTCATGCATCTGTTTTAATCTACTGTATTTTTATTTTTTTAGGTTTTCTTGTGGAACTGCTGTTGGTGGGCTGGTTCGTGAGCCACAAATGCCTTCCAAGATTTCATCAGGTTGAGCGGTCGAAAAAGAAGTTCCTTCTGATCGAAAAATCCTTGGCCACTGACGTCCATTGGCCTCCAATCACGGGCTGCATCCGTATGAATACCATCGACTCGCCGCCTTGACTCTGGGTTACACTGTTTCTTCTCACTGCCTGCAGATGACGCTGGTTGAAAACTGCTGTTACATTCGTTCAAAGACTGCTGATGCGAAGGTTTTTTCCGCGAGATACCGGTTTGAATTGAAAGAAAATGCGATATTAATTATATTTTATGTAGGAATGCGAGCAATATTCGAAGGATTTTTTGGGGCATTTCGTTAAAATATGGTGCAATTTTATCTGGGAACCTGAGCTTTCTTACAAAAGTAACGTAAAAATATGATGATATTATTCTTCATTAAAATGCCAACCGATTCCAGGAGGAATGATTCATCACTGAAGTTTGTCAAATGTTGCTCTCTGCTTGTTCTACTGTACGAATTCGATGAGGATGCAGGTTGAAATCTATATTGCGGACCAAGTAAGGAAAAACCGAAAGCTGCTCATCCTCTGAATCTTTCTCCTTGTTTTTTTTTTTTTTTTTTTTATGAAAAATTTTGGCGATTTCTTTGAATTCTTTTTCCTCATGCACGACTATAAATCAAAAGGGTGACGAGAGAATTTTTCCTCGCTTTGGATGAATGATGGGAATAACGAGGATATGATGAAAAAGTATCTGTATGCATTACTCCTCGATGTTTGGTTCAAAACATCGTGATGTTTAAGTTTTGAAGGGGACTCTTCAGGTTTGGATGAGATACTTCTCAGCTGTAATTGAGGATTGAAATCGCCGGCGTGTGCATATGGATTTTTTTTATTGAGTGAATGATTTTTTTCTTTCATTTTTCTCAATATACTGGTGGAATTGCTGTTGACGCAAAATGCAGCTTTATTTTTGACGAACAAATCGGCAGACTTATTTTTATATTTTGTTTTTACTGATTTTCAAGTGAAACTGTGAGTGAGGTTTTAGTCGCAAAGTTTATTTTGGATACTACCGAAGCCCTAAATTTCTGTCTTATGAAGTTGAGACCTTGTGAAATTACCGAAGTCAAAGGTTCTTATTTCAGGAGAACAGTTATTATTAGGTGGGATCGGATCATGAAGTTCCGAATCCCATCCAATAATAACTCCGCTCATTCGGGTTTCAATTGTTAAAATAAATAACAATTCAACTGATATTTTCTCTGGGATTGTACAATGATAGGATAAAATCTACGGAAAACTTTCTGCGGGAGCTTATGTACAATGCTATGGCCAAGTAGGCCAACATCATATTACACCGAAGTCCAGATATTTCTGAAAATACAACGAAATTATTTTGATGCTCGATACATCATGATTGCGCTCCGGATTATCCAGTGACATTCCACGGCGAACTAGTTTGATCATGTCAGCCCTGGCAATTTGAAGTCTGCACATGTTTCGCTCACGAAATAAGCAGAGATGTCGAAGATGGACCTACAGTATGTTTTAAAATACTTCCCAGATGAAATCAAAGATCTTTGAGATGCTTTTTGTATCAGAAACTTGCAGTATATTTCTGAATTCAATAAGAGGCTCATATGTTTGCCAGAATCTGACGCAAAAAATATTTATTCAGTATCTAACTTTCGCAAGCCACAGAGAGTATACAGAATCTAGCGCTATACAGTATAAGCTTCAGTGTATATACTGCACTGCACATCCCGTGCATTCTGCAAATATAAAAAAATATCTTGGTTAGACCACTTCCAATAATTTAATGCTAGAAATAATTTACATCGCGCAAAAACGTATCGTTTCTGATTATATCATCATTCTTTTTTTTTTTTTTGACTGCCGTATAGCACCTTATTGTGCTTATGAAAAACATTATCTTACATCAGCTTCCAGAGATGGCAGATGTGGAGCGACACCTATTAACTCCGCATTTGTTGCTGCACTCGTATTCTTCGCTAACATGGAGATGACGCTTTTCTTTTCATTGTACCCACATACAATTTTTTACAAGAAGTCAGCTGAGTCACAATGAAGTAATGTTTTTGCTTCTTTCTAAAATACAGTGCTGCAACATTTTTTTTCACAATTAATTCCTGCAGCAATTTCTAAGACAAGTTTATCTTCAGTGTCATTTATCTATAGAACTGCTGTATTTGTACATTTTTGGGATGTAATATATTTCCCAATTGTTTATTGATGCCAGCATTACCAAACAAAACCCCTGACATAAAATTTGAACTGGGTTCAACCCCTTCAATTTTATATGCATTCAGGGCCGGATTAAGCTGGGTGCTATTGATGATGCAGCATTAGACCCACCAGGAAAATAGGCCCATGGAGAATTCCCTAAGCAGGGGAATTCAAACTTTTTGAAAATTATTAAAACCCTGAAATTATGAAAACTGTTCAAAAATTATGAAAGGTTATGAGGTTTGGAGCTGAAAAGGTTTGGAGCTGAAAAGGTTTGGATCTGAAAAGGTTTGGAGCTGAAGAGGTTTGGAGCTGAAGAGGGTTGAAGGCATGCATTTGGATGTTTGATTTCATGTTATCAAAAAGCTATGTTTTATTGTGCTATTGTACATGCATATAAGGTACCTTGTATGCATGTACAATAGTACAACATAGCTTTTTGATAATACTTTCAACAAGGTTTTATATTGTTGCATTTTTACAAGAAGTTTTGTCTTTTTTGAGAAGGTGCTTATATGTTGAGTGCAGCCAATCCTCATTGCATTCAAATTTGAATTCAAAATGACATCTGCAATATTTTCTTCTACTGAAAAGGAGCAAGGGTTTCTGTAAGAGCTTCTTGAATGCCAAAGGATCATGGCATCACATGATTTTAGGTACCTGCACAAGAAAACTTTTGAGTTTTGTAAGCAGGGAAGTTTTCCCGAGCATAGTTTCTTCATCTCTTTACTGTCAAACTTCCATGAGACAAACATCAATGGGACTAGCAAACAATCCAAGTTGAGGAGATTTCGAGACGGGAGCAAACATTTTTTTGGGCAAATATTAGGAAAGACAATTTCCACGTAATTGGTGATACAATAGGCAAGTGTTCTCCAATCTGTGGTCTATGGACTGGCGCTGGTTCTGCAGAAGTATTTTGCCAGTTCACTGGAAATTATTTTCAGAATAATTTTTCAAAGGTAGGAATGAAGTTTTTCATCCTTATCTAGAATTCCTGAAGGACAACAGCAGACAAAATCATCTGATGAAGAAATACAGTTGGCTTTTCATAATTTAGTCAAATTTTGACCTAATGAAGAAAATTACTTCAATTTTTCATTCTGAGATACCTTTTATCCTGCCTACCTTCCAATTTTTGAAGAAATTTCAATATACAGTAGTTGCTTATTCATTGGTTCTTGATTTTAATTTGGCAATACAATTTTTGTTTGGGTGACTTCATGGCAAATATAAAAAAAATTATGCTGGTCTTCAAAATTTGTATGGAACTTTGTAACTTTGCAGAAACTATGAGCAAATTTTCCTGTCCACAGGACCAAAAAGGTTGGGAACACTGCTATATATAAGCCTTAACATGCTTCTTCATGGAATGAGTTGACAGGAGGCCAAACCTGGAGGCAAGGGTTTATTTTCCCAATTAGTCTTTAAACTCCTTTCAAAGCTCATCAGGTACATTTTTATGGCTTTTCTCTTCCCTGTGCCAATAAAATAATAGCCAAAACGCTTAGAAAAAACTCTGCTCATGGAGTTTTGTGAGGGAAATAACCACCTTTGAGTCAGGGAGGTTTTTAATGCATTGTTTCAATGAGGGAATTCATGAATAAAAATGGATAAAATTGGATGAATGGAGTAAAAGTATTTGACTCAGGGCAATTCTTTACTTGTGAGGGTTCAACTGGAGTATATATATTGTTCATCACTATAATGCATACAAATTCATAGTGTCCATAAATCAAAATTCTTCGAGCTTTCAACAATGTAGTACAGTATTACACCCGCGTGATGATCTTTTTGTTGTTTCCGTAATTTTTAATTTAAACAATTCAGTTGGTAGTAGCAGAAACTTCCTTACAGAGTTCCTCATCCTCGCGAACGGGGCATTTTATTGTACGTCAATTTCGGCTATTAGGATGATGAAATGGTAATTATTAAAATCCTGAAAACCTTCCCCGTGCATAGGAAACATTTCATTCCAAAAAGACGATGACGGTTATGAGCAAATTTATGTGGAAATGATTTTCTCCAGCGTCCTGATGACCCTCACCTGCGGTTGGGAATAACTGTAACAGAGCTGGAAGACGGGATGCACATTTGTTTTCTGCGCAGCACAACAACGATAAATGGCAAGGACGTAACGGTTTGGCTTGTGGTGAGCAAAGCCAGTTGAATGCTCTAAATGAATATATCTTCATCAAAATTGTCAATAAGAAGAAAATTACTTCAATTTTTCATTCTGAGATACCTTTTATCCTGCCTACCTTCCAATTTTTGAAGAAATTTCAATATACAGTAGTTGCTTATTCATTGGTTCTTGATTTTAATTTGGCAATACAAGTTTTGTTTGGGTGACTTCATGGCAAATATAAAAAAATTATACTGATCTTCAAAATTTGTATGGAACTTTGTAACTTTGCAGGAAACTATTAGCAAATTTTCCTGTCCACAGGACCAAAAAGGTTGGGTACACTGCTATATATAAGCCTTAACATGCTTCTCCATGGAATGAGTTGACAGGAGGCCAAACCTGGAGGCAAGGTTTTATTTTCCCAATTAGTCTTTCAACTCCTTTCAAAGCTCATCAAGGTGCATTTTTGTGGCTTTTCTCTTCCCTGTGCCAATAAAATAATAGCCAAAAGGCTTGAAAAAAACTCTGCTCATGGAGTTTTGTGAGGGAAATAACCACCTTTGAGTCAGGGAGGTTTTTTAATGCATTGTTTCCATAAGGGAATTCACGAATAAAAATGGATAAAATTGAATGAATGGAGTAAAAGTACTCAGGGCAATTCTTTAGTTGTGAGGGTTCAAGTGGAGTATATATTGTTCATCAGTATAATGCATTCAAATTCATAGTGTCCATGAATCAAAATTCTTTGAGCTTTCAACAATGTAGTACAGTATTACACCCGCGTGATAATCTTTTTGTTGTTTCCGTAATTTTTAATTTAAAAAATTCAGTCGGTACTAGCAGAAACTTCCTTACAGAGTTCCTCATCCTCGCGAACGGGGCATTTTACTGTACGTCAATTTCGGCTATTAGGATGATGAAATGGTAATTCTGAAAATCCTGAAAACCTTTCCTGTGCATAGGAAACATTTCATTCCAAAAAGACGATGACGGTTATGAGCAAATTTATGTGGAAATGATTTTCTCCAGCGTCCTGATGACCCTCATCTGCGGTTGGGAATAACTGTAACAGAGCTGGAAGCGCCCTACGTGTAAACAAAAGACGCGTCGTGTTGTTGCTATTTACCGTTCCTGCATTGCCAAACCGAACACCACTCGTTTCGGTCAACTTACGAGATTTACTTATATAGAAGTAGTTTTAACAGTTATCAAATACAGGACAGGAGTTTACAATCAGGGATGAACAGTGTCATTATCGAAGATGGATAGCATTGCAGCAGTGCAGCTACTGGACTGATAGTTCTTTGCTGAGAATGGGGCCAATTTGCACATTCCTTGGTATGAAGCGTTTGGGAATTGCACTTTGACCGAGTTGATAAAAGGCGAATTAAAGTGAAATCTAATCACAAGATAAACACCATTATTACAATAAACTTCTTTCAAGTTTTACAAGTTCTACAGAAAGCCAGTTGTACCATTTATAACTTCATGACTTGGTTAAAATATTTGTTTGGAAGGCATTAAAGTCTTTTATTTTTTAGGGAAGCTCGTTCTACAAACCGAAGGGGACCGTTTCATGGTCACGTTTTGTAAGTCTGGAAATCCTG